ATTCTTAATATTAAATATATCTTAACTTAAAATCTCATCTTAACTTTAGAACAAATATATTTTATTTTTTCTTAACTTATTGAATATATTTTTTCTTATCATTAAAATATATTTTTATTTTTTTATTAATTTTAAAATATTATAAGAATAAATTTAAATATTAAGTTATTTTTCTTAATTTAAATATATATTTAATAATTTATAAGTTAAGATAAGATAAAAATATATTTTTTAGTTAAGATAAGAACTTACATGGAGCGACAGCTGATGACTTTAGGAGTAAAGTTTTGTCTAATACATGTTTTGGAACTACAAATCCAAATAATGCATATATGTTATGGAAAAATATGGCAAATTCCATCAGAGAGGTAGGCAAAAACACCATTGGGTTGTCGACAAGAAAGGTCAAGGAGTATAAAGAATCGTGGTGGTGGAACGACGAAGTCCAAACTAAGGTGAAGAAAAAGCAAACTTGCTTCAAGGAGTTTCTACAATGCAATGTCGACGAAGAAAGATCGAGAGCTAAACAAAGATACAAGGAGACAAATCGGGAAGCCAAGAAAATAGTGGCTAAAGCAAATGATAAGGCATACGAGGAAATATACAAGAGATTAGACACTAAGGAAGGACAAAACTACATCTTCAGGCTTGCAAAAAGCAGGGAGAATAGGAAAAAGGAGCTAGGTAACATTAGGTTTATTAAGGACGATAATGATATTCTTTTAGTGAAAGATCATGATATTAAGAGGGTTTAGGGTAGTTACTTCTTTGGCTTATTTAATGACGGTGCCTCTCCCTGTAGAGATAGTACCGTTGATGGGTCAGTCGACCGTCATACTACGGCTAATGACTGCCCTACAAGTAGAATTGGGTTTGAGGAAGTCAAAATGGCTCTTAGAAAGATGGGGAGGGACAAAACTGTCGGTCCTGATCAAATTCCTATCTCTGTGTGGTTGGCCCTAGGAGAAGAGGGAGTAAAGTAGTTGACCAATATCTTTAATATTATTTTAGAGACTGCCAAGATGCCAGAGGAGTGGAGAGAGTCTACGGTGATACCAATCTATAAGAATAAAGGAGATCACCAACGTTGTGGCAACTACAGAGGTATTAAACTACTCAGCCATACCATGAAGCTATGGGAAAGGGTGATAGAGGCTAGGTTGAGACTGGTTACTAGGGTTTTAAAAAACCAATTTGGCTTTATGCCAGGCAGATCTACTACGGAGGCGATTCATATACTTCGACGTCTTATGGAGAAATATAGGGAAAAATAGAGATCTTCACATGGCGTTCATTGACCTTGAGAAGGCGTATGATAGCGTTCCCCGCGATACGATCTGGAAGACCTTGGAAACGAGACATATCCCATCTACTTATATCCGGGCGATTTGTGATATGTATTGTAGATCTACTACACACGTCAGGACTATAATTGGCGACACCGAGGCATTCCCGGTGGAAATCGGACTCTACCAGGGGTCGGCTCTTAGCCCCTACATCTTCGCCTTGATTATGGACGACATCTATTGTGTGACACCAGACGGTGTTCCATGGTGTATGCTTTTCGTTGACGACATTGTCCTAGTTGTTGAAATAAAAACTGAGTTGAATAGTATACTAGCTACCTGGAAGGCTGCTTTGGAAGAAAAAGGTCTAAGGATCAATATTGAAAAGACAGAGTTTTTATGTTCAAACTTCAGTGGGAACCAAAATGATAAAGATGTAGAAGTATGCATAGAAGGGCACGTTCTCCCCCCAAAGGATTGTTTCAAGTACCTAGGGTCTATGATACATAAAGATGGGGGTGTAGATGATGACGTTACACACCGTATAAAGGCGGGATGGTTAAAGTGGAGGGCTGCTACTGAAGTTTTGTGTGACAAGAAGGTGCCTCTAAAACTTAACGGAAAATTTTATAGAATGACAATAAGACCAGCGCTGCTATATGGATCAGAATGTTGAACAATAAAAAAGGATTACGTAAGAAAGATGGAGGGCGCAGAAATGAGAGTGCTTCGATGGGCATGTGGTAGGACTCTGTGGGACATGACACCAAACTCTGCTATTAGGATGTCCTTGGGGGTGGTGACTGTATCTGAAAAATTGAGGGAGGGAAGATTACGGTGGTTTGGGCATGTTCTTCGACGACAATCGTTGGATGCGGTCAAGAGGGTAGAGTAGATTACAGTCGACAGTGCCAGAAGGGGAGGTCGACCAAGGTGGAAGTGGGAAGACTGCTTGAGATCTTATTTGAAGGATTTAGCCCTTACCGAGGACATGACCTCTGATAGGAAAGTATGGAGACTTAAGACCAGGGTAGCCGAGTAGTACGGGCCACATCCATAGGGTGTATCATCTATGTCTTCTTTTAAAACCTTTGTAGTAATTTCCATGACTTATATTTTTTATACGTTTTATTCATTGGAATTTATGAAGGCTTAAAACTAGGGTAGCGGAGTAGTGTTGCCTTAGTTTAGGTTTTAACCCATTTGACTTCATTCCTTCACTTAGCCTGCTATCATTGATTTATGTGTATCATTCTCTTCATGTTTCCTCTTTTTAATTTTAGTCGGGTCTTACGTTGCTTTCTATATGCACAGAATTTTACACAGGGATTCATTTACAGAGATTTACTTCCAATTACAGATACGCATATGAAGACTGCATATGAAGACTATTCAACCATGCATTTATTTATACATGCATTGCATTTTATCTTTATTTAAAAAAAAATTTGACTGCCGGAGGTCTTGCATGGAAGCTGCTCTCAACCTGGCGTTGGGGGTAGCCTACTACACTAGCTCCCCCTTACCCCATAGCATATGGGAATAGGGTTTTGTTGTTGTTGTTGTTGTTGTAATAGGTTAAAAAAATAAAATATATTTTAAATGTTAAGTTATGATTTTAAATTAACATATATTTAATATTAAGAATTTAATATTATATTATGAAATAAGATATATATATAATATGTAGTCAATATAAACCATAAAAAGAACTTGGCCAGCGATTGATGCTCTCTTTTTCAGCCCACACCACCCAAGTTTGAATTTCCCTTGTCCCCTTTCAACACCTTTAATTTTCATTCACCCAGGTCGGTGAGAATTAAATATATTAAATTAAAATAAATTAAATTATTCAATCGGGTGATGACACGTGTCATGATATTTAATATTAGTGACATGTGGTACGATCTGATTAGAAGATTAAATTTATTTTAATTTATTAAAATTAGGACCAAATTGATAGAATGTATAAGTAACAATGATCAAATGTATAATTATACAAATTTTGTTAACTGCCACGTCAATACTTCCGTTGAATATTAACGATAAGTGACCTAATTGAATGCATTAAAATAGTTGAGTGACCGGATTTATAAAAATTCAAAAATAATGATCAAAATAAAAAGGTGGCCTTTAGTATAGTTTACCCAAAAAGAAAAGTCACCCAAAGACAAGTCTAGAAGTAGATCTCAGAGTTTCTCTTTTGCGTGAAAGACTACGGTTTTTCGCATCACAACAAACAACAAAATTTACTATTAATAGTAAGGTAGCGAAAGTGAATTTTAATACATTTAAATTATCATAATTTAAGTTAATTTTCTAATTTCATGAACTTTGAATGGTCTTGCTAGAAGTTATGATATACAATGAATCACAGTACAAATACTGGAACCATGTTTTTCAAGAAGAAATCCGATAAATGCGGAACAATAAGAAAAATCAAATCAAAGAAACTAAACAAATTTTCAGTCACATCATAATCATCTAGAATCTGTATTAGTCGGCCTAAGAAGATAAACAAAAAGTAAAAATTCATTACGGAGTCGGAATTTTCAAGCTTTCGGTCATGACACGACAATGCCAATGTAACGAACAATTAATTGGAATGAATTCCCTATAAATTCACAACATTTTGAGGCAACCAAAAAGCAAAAATAAAAAAGATGGAGAAATTGAAGCTTTGCATTGTGGTGTTAGCTTGTGTGGTGGCATCGGTGGCTGCCCAAAGTGCATCGAACGTGAGAGCTACTTATCACAATTATAACCCACAGAATATAAACTGGGACTACATGACTGCAAGTGTATTCTGCGCCACATGGGACGCCGGTAGGCCCTTGGAATGGCGTCGCCGATATGGATGGACCGCCTTTTGTGGCCCTGCTGGTCCTCGAGGTCAAGCTTCTTGTGGCAGATGCTTAAGGGTGTGTAAATACTACTGTGTATCTTTTTGAGTTGATTATGTTATTCCAACTCATTGTTTTTATGTCAATTAATTTTGAGGGCATTCCCCTTGTGTTTTTGTGTAGGTGACCAACACCGCGACCGGTACTCAGGCAACGGTGAGAATCGTGGATCAGTGCAGCAACGGAGGCCTGGATTTGGATGTTAATGTGTTTAATCAACTTGACACTAATGGGATTGGCAATGCTAATGGTTTCCTCACCGTTAACTATGATTTTGTTGACTGTGGTGATTAAATGAGTTCCAGCATTGGCTCATTAATAAATGCTTTGTAATAACAAAGAATATCACTGCATAAAATAAAATCAATTCTGGAATAAAGATATTAGTAGCACTTGCTGCTTGCCAGCCACTAAATTTACTTCACGTTTTCGTGCCATATTGATTTTAACACCAGATTAAATAAAATCAATTCTGGAATAAAGGATAAGGCGGAGATGCTTCAATGGAGGGATTTGCCTTCCTTATTCAACCATCCAATTTTCTTTCATTTTCGGTTCGAAGGAGATTACTAACATTGGAATTTTAGATTGGACAGAGTAAACTTGGGGTGAAAAAAATGTTCAAATTCTAAATACGTTGATAGATAAAGGTTGTTTCCAAATTACAGGATGCTACAAACCATACAAAGGCTCTGTTTTAACTGTAATTGTAAATTCTATTTGTTCATATAACTAACAATGGCGTCCTATGACAGAGGTGCAGTTTTCTTTTTTTATTGCATATGTCCCCCAATAAACCACCTCTACTCTACCTTTAATTTCTCCTGAATCTCAGCTACATTCCTGGAAATCAAAAACTAGAATTTCTGGTGTTCCAATGGCTTCCGGAAATGACCACTTTAGCATTTCAGGACCCACATTCCTAACCAGGATTGACTGGACGAATGCTCATCACCGGAGATCTGTGGCCGCCAGTTTAGTCAAGGGTGTTTACATGTTGGAAGGCGACCGCCAGGACGGACGTCGAGGTCCCGAGTGTTTGGCTCTACCATGGTCGGAATTTTTCCATTTCAGGTATATAGCCCCACTTACGGAAAGCGATGAATGTATCTTCGGCGCCATTTTTGAATTTAAACCTTGGGATTGTTCATATCATTTTAATATTCATGAAAGCCCTCGCTATGTAATCGCCTTCCGAGGCACGTTGATCAAACTCGGCTCGCTTGCCAGAGATATTCAGTTGGATATTGACATTATCCGAAACGGGCTTTATCGGACCAGTCGGTCCGCAATCGCCATTAATACTGTTCGAGACACGGTAACTAAGGCGGGGAATTCGAAAGTGTGGCTAACCGGTCATTCACAAGGGGCGTCCATCGCGATGTTGGCCGGGAAAACGATGGCAAAATCTGGGATGTTCTTGGAATCATTCCTCTTCAATCCGCCTTACATATTGGCCCCGATAGAGAGAATCGGAGATGAGACATTGAAACACGGGATCCGATTTGCAGGAACGATAATCAAAGCCGGGGTGGCTTTTGCCAATGCGAAGAATGATAAAAACAAGGATTCAAAGACTGCAGTCGAAAACAAAGATCCATTTGCTGCAATATGTGGATGGATTCCGTGCTTGTTTGTGAATCGAGAAGACCCCATATGTTCAGAATATATAGGTTATTTCGAGCACAGGAGAAAACTGGAATCCTTTGGATTTGGAGGCAAGTCCATTGCGAGGCAAACGAGCCAAAGTTCACTGGGAAATCTGGTTTTGAATGCAGTTGGAGTGCAAGGTGTTGAATCTTCTGAACCACTTCATCTTCTTCCTTCCGCAAATCTGACTGTGAATTTAAGCTCTTGCCCTTCACAAGATTTCAAGCAAGCTCATGGGCTGTGCCAATGGTGGAGGCCCGACCTCGACCTGAAATGCGATGTTTATAAGTACAATTAAAAACTTTATTTTTTTTATAATTTTAAAATGTATATTGACCATATTTGTAAAAGAATTATTTGGATTCCATATGTTCCCGCAAGATGCACGAGTAGATTTTGTAAAAAATGGACAAGCAAAGAATTCATTCTTGCAATCAGTGGAAGCAATTCTGAAAAATTTCTCCCTCTATCTATTCATCCTTCTAGTGTTGCAATACAGTAGAAACAACACAGAAATGGCTCCTAAACTGTACCAAGCTGTAATAAAAGGTGACGCAGCGTCCATGAAGGAATTAGCAGGCCCCGATTCAACACTTCTTTTCCAGCTTACACCAAACGGAGACAGCATTCTTCATGTTGCAGCCAAATACAACGTTAACCAAATCGCTCTAGAGATCCTTAAATTTCTGTCATCGGGGCTATTCGTCAATCAAAAGAACTCAAAACACGACACCCCACTGCATATTGCAGCATGGATGGGGAGTTTGAAAACATGCAAAGTCCTCGTACACTTTGCGAATAGCTTGAGTTGCAAAATCGAGGCAGCAGAGAAGCTGATAAGGATGGTGAATTCCAACAAGGATACTGCACTTCATGATGCCGTGAGAAATGGTTATCATCAGGTTGCGGAATTGTTGATCAGAGAAGATCCAGAGTTAACTCTTTTAACAAATGATGTTGGCGAGTCCCCACTCTTTATTGCTCTGGATAAACGGCATCTTCAAATTGCACTACATATCTTGGATGTTGCTCCAGATTTCTCCACTGACGGTAGGAATGGTACTAATATCTTACATGTAGCTGCTATTCGGTCAAAGCATGAAGGTAACCTTGCTCACTAAGGTAATGGAAAGCTTTTTATTGGCATCCAAGCTAACTGTTGTTTTCTTTGTTTCTCCATTTTTAGTTTTTACAATAGTTGACTATCTCTGGGAGCTTATGAGTTATCAGAATATAATGACCGATTCGTCTTTTAAATACGGGCTCAAGTCAGTTTGCGCTCAAATCTGCGCTATCCGTCGAATATGGGCTGCCGGCCATAATCTAGGTTACAAGAGTAAATTCACTTGCTCTGATCTTTTGATATCCATTTTCAATTTTCTCCTTTACCATGTTGAATTGACCTTTCTTTCTTGGCCTAGATCTTGTTGCACAATAGATGTTGGTCGAAAAAATTCGATCCGCACTCTCGCAAACAGATGAGAGCGGATGGACTCCTCTGCACTATGCAGTACACTTTGGTTCTGTGGACATTTTCGAGCTGTTTTCCGAGTATATATATAAAGGAAATGGTTCGGCTGCTCATGTTAGAGATGGAGAAGGCAGGTCTGTCATTCACATTGCTGCAAGAGAAGGTGAAGTAGTCATATTGGAAAGGCTTTCAAATCTCGTTCCGGAGATTTGGGATTTACAAGATAATAAAGGCCGAACAACTCTTCACCTTGCTGTTGCTACTAAAATGCTTGGTTCTGTCAGGTTCATTCTTCGAAACCGTCTTTCTCACAGCGGACTTATAAACCTGCAAGATAATGAAGGTAACACTGCTTTGCACCTTTCCGTGATCCAAGGATATTGTGAAGACATCTTCGAATTTTTGATCAAAGACATCTTCCAATTCCACGGTTACGACTTCAAGGTATTACCTGAATTTTCGAGTCCTACTCGAGGTTATGAGATCAGCTCGATTACACCCTTACCACAGAAGCTCTTTTCATAAATTTGCAGAAGTGGTTCATGATGAGTGCTTGCAATTGGCACTTTTTACTTGTCAATTCTCTTGCTTTATGAACATTTCACTACTGATTTGGTTGCATTTGACTTATTTTATGTGTAAATAACCTGTTTACTGGAATTGGAAGTAAAAGAGCGCGTTCTGCAATTTTTTGTTGTTTTTTGGTCATGGCTGGAGGCATGGACACGACACGGGTCTGACGTGATAGTTTCTAGAAGGTCCAATCAGCACGAAGTTTCTAGAAGCAGTTCAGTCAGCATTATCTAGAAGAGGATGGACGGAATCTTTAGGAGTATAAATTTAAGGGGATGTTTGTTTGGCTCTTAATTGAACCATTCAGATCTTAACGCTGAATCGAACCGATTCAGCGCGTTTGGTTCGCATAAAATCATGGCTCTGAATGATTTGGAGGGGCTGACCGATTCAGACTTAAAAAGGACGCCTAATCATTCAAACGTAAGACATTACGCTAATACCCTTTTGCTTACCCCTCTCGTTCTTGTTTACAAGCCCAAAACAGAGATCGATTTCTCCTACATTCTGCAATCGATTCATCCTCGTATTTTGTTCTTGTCAATTTTGTGAAATAGATACAAGGTTTGTATAGTTATTAAGTAGATCAATTCATCTGTGGATCGATTAATCCCTGTAGGTTTTCGTATCAAGTGATTGTTTCCCCATATATTTAGGGGATGTTGACATATAAACCTTAATTTACTATTGATGCATGAACCGATTCAATATATGGAGTGAAGACAAGAACTATGTTCATATATTTAGGGGCTGATCACAAATTAATGTTTCATATAGGTTAGTCTCTTGATTTATATATATTTGTTTGTGGGTTCGAAGAGTCAAGAGGAAACACTAGTATTGAAGTGAATGCCTTTTGCTTCACATAATTAATTAATTCTCAATATTTGTCAATCCGTTTAGACATATCCGGTGTTGAAGAATCATCGAAACAAAAAAGGCCTAGACTCAGTTGGAAAAATGAAGCACTAGAGAAATTATTTCTCGATGCATGTATACATGAGGTCAACACTCATGGACGAGAAGGAAACAGTTTGAAGTTTACATCTTGGAAAAACATTGGAGAGAAACTGAAAAAGGAATGTGGTATTGTTGCTGAACAACGCTAAATGAAAAATCGTTATGATTATATTAGAGGAAAATATAACGTGTGGTCAAAGTTATTTAACAAGACAGGGAATTTGTACAATCCGGTCACAAAGTCATTCAATTTAACTGAAGAAGAATGGCAAATCGAAATGAAGGTTGCATTCTTATAATGTATTTATTTATTTTAGTTGCCTAGATTATACATATATACTTATATATGTATTTTTATGAACCAGTGAAACAAACATGCAGAACCACTGAGGAATTCACCCTTGTTGTATCCCGAGTTGTGTATGCAACTATTTGACGGGTCAACTTGCACTAGTATTGATGGTCGGGGGCCTACTTCTAAATCTTCTCATCCAGAAGAATAACTAGATGATCCCGAATTGAATGAAGATGATGATAGCCAACAACCAAAGAATTCCTCTCTTGCGTCACAAGAAACAATGGTTCCAACACAAGAGTGTTCCCTAGGCTCTCAACATAAAAGTAAAAAAAGAAAAGATCGAACAAACACTCACAACATTATGGCTGTTGCGGATGATATATCCAAAATTGCTAACATAATGATTGAAAAAACCAAAGGAGATGATATGAGCGCTTGCATTGAGAAGTTGGAGAAACTTGTGTGCGATACACAAGACCCGATGTATCAGACTGCACTTTTTCTATTTGGTGAAAGTTCTGATTTGAGGAAACTTTGGTTGGTACTAAAAGTAGAGGCATGTGAGAGTTGGATTAAAAATGATGGGCGTAAGTTTGGACTTTTGGGATGATTCAAGGAGATGTCTTTTATAATGTTTTTTTGGATTAGAAATACTCTTTGGACTAGAAATACTTTTTGGATTAGAAATACTTTTTGATGATTAGAAATACTTTGTTATGTTTTAATGATGCCCTTTTATCATTTATCTACAACTTGAATGTGTCTTTTTGATGGTGTCTTTTATATTTTGTTTCGATTAGGTGCTATATGGATTTAAATGACGAGGAGGTGTTTCTAATCATTATATGGTGGTTTTGGATGGTAAATGCATCACCAAGAGTTGAAAGAATTCGAGACAATAATTCAACATTGACCGGACATGCATATACACAAGAATTGTTATTTGGGTCGAATACACAATGCCATGAATTAATGCGTCTATCTCGTGATACGTATATACTGTTATGTAACCATTTAAAACAAAGAAATTGGTTGCAAAATAGTAGGATGATAACCGTGGAAGATAAAATGGCTATATTTCTAACAATTATAGGTCATAATGAACGTTTTCGAATGGTTAAAATAAGATTCCAACACTCTACACAAACCATTCATAAATGCTTTCATGAGGTACGACGTGCAATGATAAAATTTGCAAGAGAAATAATAGTTCCAACATCACAATAAACAACACTGAATATGACGCAAAGACAAAGACACCTACGAGAAATATTTCCAGTATGTTTTTTTATATATTTTTTGTTATCACCCAAAAAATAATGTTTCAGTTTCTTACCATTTATGTTCTTTAATAAAGGGTGCAATAGGTGCACTAGATGGAACACTCGTACATGCAGTAGTTCCCATCGATCAACAAGCTCGTTATAGAGGAAGAAAAATAGGTGCAATTTGTGATTTTGATATGATATTCACATTTGTGTGGGTTGGATGGGAGGGCATAGCACATGATTCTAGAGTTTTGACATAAGTTACATTTAATCCAAACTCAGGTTTTCCTTCCTCCACAAGGTATATATCATTTCTTTCTATCGTATTAAAATGTTTTAATTCATTACATTTATTTATAGTTTTTTGTAACAAAATTTTAATGCTTATATATAAATAACAGATAAGTATTACCTTTGTGATGCAGTATATACCAACATACGTGGCTTTATGACTCCATATCGTAATACGAGGTACTGGCTAGCAGATTTTCGACGTCAACGTGTCGTAACCAAGGAGGAAAGGTTCAATCATGCTCATGCACAACTTAGAAATGTTATAGAGCGTGCCTACGGAGTTCTGAAAGCAAGATTCCCAATCCTAAAGCAAATGACTCCTTATCCTTTTCCAATACAATGAGACATAGTGATTGCATGTTTTGCGGTCCATAATTTTATAAGAAAATGCAAAGTTTATGATCAATTATTTATGGATTTCGACAAGAACAACATGTTTTCTAGTGAAGAACAAGATAATGGAAATGAACAAGACGAGATAAATGGAGTTGAATGGGTCCTCAAGGCAATGAGTATATGGCTAATCTACGTGATCACATTGCTAATCAATTCTTTTTAAATGCTTCAAATTAATATCTTTTTATGGTTGTTATGTATTTTGTTTCGTCAAAAACATAAACCACTCTTTTATGTCTTTTCATATTAGTAGATTTGTTTATTATGAATGTTGATAATTTGTCTAAAAAATGTGTTTTTATGTTAATTGATTTTATATTTTATTATGATTGTTGATAATTTTGACAAAAAATGTGTTTTTATAAACATCAAAAAGTAAAATATTTTTTTAGCATTTATTCACAAGGTAGAAACAAATATATTTTATTTTGGCGCAAAATCATACATAAGGGTAATATATTTTATCAAACAAATTTTCTTTTCAGAACTATATCATACAGAGCCTTTTAATCATTCAGACTGCTAGATCATTCAGTGCTAAACCATTCTGTTTTAACAAACAACCCCTAAGTATGAATTCAAAAACACATGGGATTATCTTTTTAGGATTATCTTCATTTTAATTTCCATGTTATTTTTAGGATTTAGAAGCCTATAAATGCCCTCCTTAGGGCATGGCTTAGTTATCTCTTATCTTGAATTTTATCTTGTAATTTTCATTCTCCGTTTTATAAAGTTTCTTTTTTTTATTAGCCGAAAATTAGCGATGACTCAATTACATATGTGAGAATTGAAAAGCATTAAAATACCTTCGGGTTTCATTCTCGATTTTCTAGAATCAAAGATCGACAATTGTCCATCTTTTTAAAATTAAAACACTTTCAAATAAAAAAATCGACGTTGGTCTGGATGTTGTTTTAATTTATAGTTGGGAGGAAGGATAGACATGTGGCATATTCAATTTCCTGTGAACACACTTAGCGACGATCCACTAAGGGAAATCGAGATCGGGTTCGATTCTCGATGAGACAACATAATCCCAGTCGAGCCTTTCCAGTACTTAATTATGATTGTTTTAACAACAAAAGTTGTGGTTAATCCACTCAAGAATCATCTTTCGAATATAGACTTGAGAAGATTAGTTACTAGAGAGAAAGACAAGTTACAATGGGTTGGATCTTGTAGACTATAATCGACATTAATCCCGGAGCAAAAATCCATTTCGATGATCAAACAGAATTAAATCAAAGCTAGCTTGAGGAGATTTTCTCATTATTATCATTTAATTTTTATTTACCACTTTAATTTATTTTACTTCATTTTTTATTTTCTACTTTTGTTTATTTACTTTTATCTCTCATTCACAAAACCCCATTTTCTAATTTATTTTTCTTGCAATTGCCTGGACTAAAATCGACACTAAATCGCATCAGGAATTTCTAAGTCCTTGTGGATCGACCCTCTTTCACTATACTATATTTATATTTATTTCTTTTATTTGAGAAGAGGTTTTATTTTATTTTGACGAGTAGAGCGACACTTGTCAAAATTGGTGTCATTGCCAGGGACTTAAGCAAATTACTGATCTATTTTTTGTTTTGATTTTATGACCAGGAAGCATCTCGAGCAAAATTTATGGTCTGAATCAAGTCATTGAGCTAAACGACGTTAAAAAAGCGCTTCATGGGTGACAACCCATTTTAATTTCGTTTCGTTCCATTTTTTTCATTTCTTTA